GGCCTCCGTGAGCACGTGGTTGCGGGGGTCTTGCGGCCGTTCATGCGGCCTCCCCAGGCCTCTGTGCACACGTGGTCCTGAGGGCCCTGAAGCCTTTCGTGTAGCTCCACCCCGGGCCTCCGTGGGCAGGCGGGCCCTTGGCACCTGCGGCTTTTCGTGCAGCCTCCCTGGGTGTCCTTGCACCCATGGGCCCGGGGTCCTGCAGCCATTCATGCAGACTGCCCCGCCTCTGTGCGCACATGGACCTGTGGGCCATGTGACCTTCTGTAGGGCCTCCCCAGGCCTCCGTGCACACATGGGCCCGGGGACCCTGTGGCCGTTCGTGCAGCTAGCCCCCGCACCTCCGTGCGCACGTGGGCCCGGATGCCCTGCGGGCTTTCATGCGGCCTCCCCTGGCCCTCCTACACACATGGGCATGGGTACCCTGTGGCCTTTCGTGCAGCCTAACGGGGTGTCTGTGCGCACTGGGTCCCAGGGCCTCTGCGGCCTTTTATTCAGCCTGCTCGGGCCTCTGTGCGCACTGGGTCCCAGGTGCCCTGCAGCCTTTCATGCAGCCTGCCCGGGCCTCCGTGCACATGTGGGCCCAGGGCCCTTCAGCCTTTGGTGCGGCCTCCCTGGGCCTCCGTGTGCACGTGGGCTTGGGGACCCTGTGGCCTTTTGTGCGGCCTCCCCGGGTCTACATGAGCACGGGCGCCTGGAGTCCCTGCATCCTTTTGGGCGGCTACTTTGGGCCTCCCTGTGTACATGGGCCTGCAGCCCCTGTGCCATTTCGTGTGGCCTCCCCATGCCTCTGTGCGCACATGGGCCCAGGGCCCTGCAGCCTTTCTTGCGACCTTCCAGGACCACCATGTACATGTGAGCCCGGAGCCCCTGCGGCCTTTTGTGCGGCTTCCCCGGGCCTCTCTGCGTGTGTTGGCCCGGGAGCCCTGCAGCCTTTCGTGCAGCCTGCCCGGGCCTCACTGTGCACGTGGTCCCGGGTGCCTGTGACACTTCATGTGGCCTGCCCGGGGCAACGTGCGCACATGGGACCGGCGGCCCTGCCTCCTTTCATGCAACTCCCATCCATCCCTGCCTCCCAGCTCTCCCTCCAGCCCCACCACTCACCTCCCTCACGCACTCACGCCACGAGCCCCCAAGGCCAGCGCTGCCCGCGGGCCCGGCTGCCCCGAGGCCCCCAGCGCCCCGCGATGCCGCCCACAAAATGGCGCCGCCTGTGGCAGAGTGAGGAGCTGCTGGCAGCACTGTTGCCATGACAGCACTCAATGCAGCCCTCCTATTGGTTGTTTTGAGTGGGAAGGCGGAGAGAGATCTGAGCGATGGCTCTCTCAGCCAATCAGCATCAGAGGTGAATCGGGCTGGAGCTGATAGGGCCGCAGCGGTCCCGGTGTGGGGAAGGGAAAAGGAAGCGGAGCCCAAATGTCCCCAAATTGGGAATTTCAGCCTGGACATTGGGATGAGGAAACAGGACTTGAAAGCTAAAGCTGCGGTGCAAGAGGCCAGCTGTGAGGAGGCCAGGATCATCCCGTGGCTCTGTGTGCCCAGGAAGCGCCCGTGAGGATGCCGAGACGCCGGGGCAGGGCAGGAGATCCCGTCCCGCGCGAGAGCCGAGGCAGGGCCGGGCTGGGCGCTGCCAGGCTGCGCGGGCACAGCCGCAGGCAGGMGGCAGCACAGGACGGGCTCTGCTGGGCAGCGCCAAGGGCACTGCCGGAGCCCAGGCAGCCCAAAGGAGGTCGGCATCCTCCTGGCCGCGGCTGCTGAACTCCTCCTCGCAGGAGACACCGGGGCCTCCCCGTTCCCTTGCCCACAGCCTGCAAGGGCTCACAGCACTGCCCTGCGCTGAGCACTGCACACCCCAGCCCACACATTGTCCCAAGGAGGGCCTGGGAAAGGTGTGCGGGAAGGATCCCCCTTCGCAGCAGCTCCCTGGCCGAGCTGGGACATTGGGCCTCCTCAAACACATCAAGGGTCAAGGCGGCATCGGAGCCACCTGCACGTCTCCTCTGCCTGCCGGCTATCGGTGACTGCAGGTTTCTGCTCTAAACGGCCCCGGGGGAATCTCTGTTGCTGACAGGTATCAGTGGGAGCCGTTTGGGCTCTACAGAACTTGGAAGGCTGCTTCTGACTTTGAAGTCTTGACCGTTTTGTTCAGTCTTGTCACAGTAACGGGGTTCATGGGCTCGGCACCAATTACAGCACGGGGCTCGTTAAAAGGCAAAAAAAACTCTGACCAGCCCTGTCTCTCCCTTTTCTTTCCATCAAGGCTTGCATGGCAAATTGGAGAGGTTTCAGGAGTGCAGCTGAAAGGTGGGGACCTCCATAATGCACAAGAATTTCTGCCTTTTAAGGCTTTTCTTGTTTTTATGAATCTTCAGTTTTTCGAGTAAGTGAGAGCAACATCCCCCAATCCGGAGGTATCCAGAGCGGCTCCCAGGACAGTGTGGACATGCAGGAAGAGCAGGTCCTGGAGCTCGGGCCCTGTATGGACATTCTTCCCTGCCCCTGTCCAACCTGCCGTTTCTCTCCTCAGCCCCCTGGCACTTCGAGCACTCATCTTGGAAGGAGGAGTGAGGAGCAGAGGAGCCCGTGAATGTGCCCAAGTGCCAACTGCTTTCCTTAGAGCTCCTGGAGGGCTCTGTGTTGGCAGCTCCCAGCGTCTCCTGTGGAGCCGTGTGCTGGTGGCGTGGGATGGGATTCCTGCCAGCTAATGCCGGGGCTTACACTGCAGTGTCCTCCCATATCAGTCATGGGGAGAAATGTGCATTTCCAGGACATTGGACTAATGGTGGGGATTGAACTTGGATGTGATGTTCCCCGCCCCAGCCATAGGCAGCGGGGGCAGTGAATGTCCCGTGAGGAGAGGCCCCCGTGGGATTGTCCCCATCCCATGAGAGGAATCCCATTGCAGACACAAGGAAGTGTCGCCTGGCGGGAGCCAACCGCGTCATCCCCCTCTGCCCCATGTGTCCAGGGGCTCCATCAAGGCCCGGGAGGAAGGGCCTGCGTTGSCAGAGGCCAGGGCGCTGCGGAGCCAAGCACGCTGCCAACGTGGACAAGGGAGCAAAGAGAGCGCAGGACAAAGAGCTCTGCTGGCAGCGTCACGGCGTGGCTGCGGTGGGAAGGGAGCTGCAGAGATGGTCCYGTGTGATGGGGCAGGGACACGCGGGGCCCGTGGGCCGGGATTGCGGCCCGAGCTCCGCACATGGCAGTCGCTCCGCACGGAAAGGGCAGCTCCAGCAGCTCKCCGGCCTGGCCTGGCCTTCCCAAAATGCACAAAGCCCCCACGGGCTGCTTGGAGCCGCGAGAGCCGTCCCACGGCTGGGGCCGCTGTACTGTGACTGCGGGAGCCTGCAGTGAGGTTGGGGATTTGGGGGCTTTTGGAGGCTTTTGCAGCCCAGAGCTCGGTCAGGGCTGCCCCGAGTGTCCCTTGTGGCCGAGCGACCCCCGGGSRCTCYGTCCCGCTGCCTCCCGGGACGCCCCCTCCCTGTGGCCCTTCGTCCCCTGCCGCCTTTGGCCTTTTTCCTGYGCCAGGAACGGATCCCAGATGTTCCAGGGGGTTGTGYGGGGGCAGAGGGCTGTGRGGGGGCATTGGGAAGCTCRTGRTTATTGTCCYGGGGGGTCAYGGGGGGCTCRTGRTTGTTGCTGCAGGGGGGCTGCAMAGGGGRGTCCCCCGGGGCTGCCCTGGGGGTTCCCGGGGGGCGGTGCCGGGTGCTGCTGCCGCCCCCGCAGCGGGTCCGTGTCCGGCGCCTGCTCATGGTGGGTGGCACCCGGCGCGGGGCCGGGGGAGTCGCGGCCATGGCGGGGGCTGCRTGTGGGGACAGCGCGAGCGGCGTCACCCCCGTGTCCCCGTGCGCGGCAGGCAGAGGAGCCACCGGAGGCCGCGGGATCCTGGGATGCTCCTGCGACGGCAGCRACGGCACCAGCATCGCCCTCGTGGTCGACACGGACGTGCCCGTCGTGGTCGACACGGACGTCTCCATTGTGGACGGCACCGACGTCCCCGTCATGG